AAAAAAAAAAAAAAAAATCTGCTTGGCAGCACATACTTTTAATCTCTGTACTCAGGGAGGCAGAGGCAGGCAGATCTCTGAGTACAAGATCAACCCGGTCTACATAGTGAGCTCCAGGCCAGCTGGGACTACAGGGAGACCCTGTTTCAAAAAGACCCAAAAAAGGGGGCTAGAGAGATGGCTCCATGGCTCAGTGAGTAAGAGCACTGGCTGTTCTTATAGAAGACCCTGGTTTGAATCTCAGCACCCGCATGGAGACCAATAGTGATTCATAACTCCAGTTCCAGGGTATTAGATGCCCTCTTCTGTCCTCTGTGGGCCCTGTATGACATAGGTGTACTTACACACACGTAGGCATAACAGTCATACACAAAAAATTAAAAAAAACAAAAAATAACAGAAGCACAACACCATGCAAGGCCTGATGGCATATCCCAGCACTCAGGAGATTAAGCAGGAAGAGTCCTGCAAGTTCAAGGTCAACCTGGGGGCTACACAGCAAGACCACATCTCACCTCTGCATTCTCCTGAAGACAGACATAAGGCCTTCCAAAGTGACATGTATCTTTAGGCCTCAGTTTCCAAATCTGAGAGGCAGGGATAGCATCCTGTCTCCTCTACCTCTGCTGACTCTGGTTTATCCTACATCTCCTGAGACTCTTGGCTGGAGCAGGGAGGGCACGGAGACTCCCAAGGATAAAGAGGCCAAGAAACTGTACACTTGATAGAAATAATCAGCAAAAAATAAAACTGACACCTTAAAGCAGCCCAGAAGAAAGACAAGCAGAAACAAGCAAGAAGAGAGAAAGAAGTAAACAGGAAGGAAGGAAAAGCCCGCTGCTAGGAATAGCTGTCACTTGAGAGACATGAAAAAAGAAGTTAAAAGATAAGTCATGCTGAGAATAATTTCAATAAAAATTTAAAAATTAGAAAAAATCAGCAACATCTGGAGCTGGTAGAGATTTGCTCCAGGCTTAGTGCCGCACCCCCTGCCCCCCTGCGCCAAAAAACCCCACAAAACACATCATCTAGGGAAATGGTACCAACGGATTCCTGGTAACACTCCTCATCTGCCTGGAGTCAAATCCTCCTATGTTCAGCTGGGGCCTACCAGGCCCCATCTGGTTTTAACCAGAACAGGTAAGGACTGCCCAGGCAAGGGAGCCCACAGCAGGTACATGGCTGGCCCTGTGCCCTGTGCCACTTACTGTGGTGATGAACCTGTAGAGCGGCTGTCTTCTCTCTGTGTACTTGACCGTGATGGGGCTGAGGTCATAGCGGAACCAGATGGCAGGGATGATGCGGCCTGTGTGGCTGTAGGCAACATACTCCTGGAGGAGAGGAAGAGATGTGAGAATTAGAAGCAATGTGGGGCCTCAGGTGGGTAGGGCTGGACTGCAGAAATCCTCCAGGCAGCCTCCCTTCACCCCTTCTCCTGAGGCTGCCATTAGCGTCTGGACAGATGCACAGTAGGGACATTTTGGGTCCCTTCAGCTGTGGGGAAAAAGGCTCATGTAACCTGGAAGCAGAGCCAGAATGGAAGCACCCATCTGAAGGTTGAGATGTACGAGGAAGAAAGGTTTGGGGCTCAGTTTGAGGATGTCCTCCTGCAGCTCTTGGGCCACCCATTTATTCTGTTGAGGACCTCTGCTGTTCTGGGGGAAGCCCCTTCTCCAGAGGAGTCATAGCTTGGTGGGCTGGAGGAGGAGGCAGACAGCACAGCATCACTAACACTGCAACAATGAACACAGGGGATAGAGGGACTCCAGTGCTGAGGGGACTGCAGCTGAATGGCCAGTTTGCCACAAGGAATCTGGAAGGCTCACTGCAGGGGACATTCTGAGCTGTACATGACGGATAAGGTCCTACCTGATATGTGAGTATGATGAGAACAGAGGTTCTGTGGGTGTGAGCTTGTTCCCAGAGCAGGACCAGCACAGAGAACAGAAAATTCCCAGCCTGCCACAGCTCCTGAGAATGCACACAGCGAGCTGAATGTCCGCTGAGGGGCTGAAGCAGCACGTATCCTTGGGCTTAGTCCCCCACCTCACAGGGCTTGGTTTCCAACTTAACCCTACGGATCTGGGACAATGACCCATGGGATCTCTCCTTTGGGTACCTCAGGATATTGAAAAACACCAAGCTAGTCTCCCTTGTTTACAACAAATGGAGACTGAAACTGGGGTATCCCCAACTCTCCGGTAATGGGCTAGAACAGCCTGGCTGATCCCAGGGACACTGCTGAACCCTAATCTGCTTACTGGGCAGTCACTCCTGTTCACAGGATAGGCTGGGGCCAAAGCCACAGGGAATGCTGAGCAAGCTGTTTTAGCCACCCAGCCCTTAGCCAAAGTCTTAGGGGAAGGAGCCTGGAGCAAAGACAGCTTAGCTCTCCCTAGGGAGAGCTGAGAGCACAGGGTGACTGTCTAGTTCATAGCCCAGAGCTGAGGGTTGGAAGGAAAAAGTAAAAAAGTAGCAGCAGTAGGTGCCAATTACCTAAGCCTTCTCAGGCTGAGCATTTTTGAAAACATTGCTTCATTTGACAGTAATCTTATGACGTTCCACTGCCATCTTACAAACGAGTAAATAGGCAGTGTTGGTTGGTGGTGATTGAGCTGGAATGGAGCAGTGTGGTTCAGAGCCCTCCTGCTTCCTGCTCAGGTCACATCTGTTTCTCCCATTGGTTAGTTGTGGCAGCACAGGGGGAGGGGGCTACAACTACAATGAGATGCTGGTATGGTTTCAATGTGCCCCCCAAAGTTGTTTTGTTTGTTAGTTACAGTACCAGGGATTGAACCTGGAGCCTTGTGCATACTAGGCCAATATTCTACCATTGAGCTCCATCTAAATTTATTGGGTTCATTTTGTAGTTCTAGGGATTGAACCCCTAAGTTTGCATATTAATGGTATTAGGAGGTAGGACCTTTGGGAAGTAATTAGGTTAGATGAGGTCATGAGGGTGGGGGTGCCAATGACAGCATTAGTGCTTTAGTGAGATGAGGAAGAGCATCCTTAACAGGCATGCTTGCCATCTCTCCAAGTAATGCCTACCGATGTATTATGGTGTAGCGAGAAGGCTCCCCTGATGCTGGGGCCATTCTCTTGGATGTCCTTGTCTCCAGGCCTGTGAACTTCTATTCTTTATACATTACCTTCTCTTAGGATTTTGCTATAGCAACAGAAAAGAGACTAAGATACCTTCTGTGAAATAGTGAATGAAAGAACTAAGACTCTCCTTAGAGAGTTATGTTGGAATGTCAATTAAAGTGGATCAGAGCACTGATGGCACTGAGACAGCAGCACCCAAGTGGGAAGACAGTGGGAGAGCAATCAGGAGGTCAGGCCCTGGGGCCCAAGAGCCACCAGACAGCTCTGTGACTATCTCTCAGTTCCTTCATGACCAAATCTGTAAAACAGGGATGAAATACTCCAGTATCAAAGCTGTCATGGTAACGGGCAGGGGAGCTTGGTGGATCCAGCCCATAGGTGTTCAATACATGACAGTGCTCCCCACTGCCCACCAGAACCATGATTACAGTTAATTGAGCTAAACAGTACATCACTTAGAAATGGTTTGGGCAGCACTGCAACAGCAGGAAAAGGACAGTTCTGGTGGTAAACAAGGAAACCATCCACTGGGCTGCACAGCCAGTTCCACCTTCTGCTTCACACTTTTATATCTGATTTGCAGGGCCGTTTCTGAAAAGGCCCAAGTCACTAACTGCTGGGTTGTCCCATTTCTTTGGCTCTGACCACCCTCTACTTCTCATGAGACCTGATCATCTCTATGATCTGGAGTGTTGGTGTCCTGGGACATGCTTGTTATTCAAAGGCAGTTAAAATCCACAGCCATCCCCATGTGATTCCCTGGCCTCATGGTTTTGGATAAAGGGATTATGTCCCATGATCCAGAGCATCTGTCATGTGCTGATCAATACGAATTTGAAGGTGCCAGGATCCAGAAGACGCCAGAGCTGGTATTTTCAGGGCAGGTCTTCTGTGATCAAAAAGATCACACCCCATCTCCTTGTTAGAATTTGTCCCCTGGACTGGGGCCACTATTCACCACGAAGAACCGAACAGTTCATCTTTACCTAGAGAATGAGTATGGTAGGCCTGCTCTGCCCCAACCCCCTTTCAGCAGAATACATGGGGCATTATCCCTTGTCGCCTCTGTTCTCTGCCAGCAGAGGGCACAGTTGCACACACTAGACCAGCCACCACCTGCTCACCTTGTTGGCCACTGTGTACTGGTAGGAGTACCGCTGCTTGCCACTCTTGTCCTCATACACGGTGGGCACGATCTTTAAGATGTAGTCGTGGGAGGCCAGGGCTGTAGGAATTACGCAGCAAGATGAAGCGGGGAGGTGGGTACTGCCCAGCAGGCAGCTGTTTCATGTCATTCCAACCCTCAACCCAAATCCTGGCCCTGCAGGGTGTTTTTCCCTTGTTCGTACCAAATGGCCCCTCCTCCTCTTCTCCCGCATAGTGCTGGGACCCGAGCATTTCCATTTACTAGGAACTCTATTTCTCCACTACATAATACTAAAGTTCTGGAGGCAATCCAGATTTCCATCAACAGGGCAACCATTAAAGAGGGGAACCAGGAAGGGATATTTTCCAGCTCTTCTCCAGTAAAGAGTCAAGTCACAGACCAGAGTTTTCAGCATTCTTCTGTGAAGTAGGGGCTGGGGAACACATTCTCTTTAATATGTATGAACATACAGGATTATCTAGAAAGATCTCCAAGAAACTGAGCAGCTTTAATCTCCACGGAGGAAGGCAAGATTTGAGTAAGATCCCATTTCATGGTGGGTATTGTTTAAATAGTTTTGAAACAAACTGGGTTTCAGGAAGAAAAACAGCAAGAACCCACTAACCTGAAAGAACTGATTAACCCCTAAGGGCTAGAGCTGCAGCTCAGTGGTAGAGCATGTGCCTAGCTTACACAGGCCCTGGCTTCAACTCCCCATTGCTGTGCAAACAAAAAAAGATGGATCCATTTCTTTTCTCTTTCTCAACAAATGGCTGATCATTCAGCTCTACAACATTCCAACATAACCCTCTTACTCTGCTCTGTCCCGGCCTGGATGGGGGAGGCTGCTGAGGGCAGGGACAGCACCCCACTCACATTCCTGCCCCCAACCTCTGAACAGAGACTGGTACCAAGCGGACAGTGGCAAATGCTTCCTGAATGAGTGAACGGATGAAGGATGACTGGACAAAGGCATGAATGAACTGATGAATCAGCTACTGATAAGCATGAGGTAACCAGATCCAAATTCAAGGCTCTAGAAGGCTGACCCAGCACTGCCAGAACCTACCCGGGAAAGGGCTGAATCCTGTGGTCTTTGGGTGCAGAGAGAGGCCCAAGGTCCACCTCTACTGATCCTCTAGAACCTTGGGCCAGGAACCATGGGACTAAAATAACATGAAAAATTATTCCTGTGGGTTCTGACCCTGGTCTTACCAAGTCAGTTCTGTTTTCAAACTTATGTGTAAGAGTGATGGGTGTGGAGAGAACATTCCAGCCCAGACAAACTCACTCCCAGCCTCTTCCTGTATCTGCAGTCTCCTCAGGAAACGAAAGCACTTCTGGAATCAAGTTGATCTTTTGGGATTTAGGCAAAGCCCTGTCTGTAGCCTTTGAGCTAAGCCCAGGGGACCCCAACACCTCCCCCCAATGGCTCTCAGAGTTCTGAGCACCAGGGTTACCTGGGGTTGAGGGCAGATCCTGCTTCTGCTTCTTATCCCTAGAGATTCTCACATGATGGGTTGGGATGAGGTTCAGCATCTGTACTTAAATCAGGAGCCCAAGGAAATACATGTCTCAAGTTCCCATTACCCAGGGGTAAAACTTGAATGAATTAAAGGCTAAATGCCTTAACAAAAATCACAACTGTAATATTTTTGTTAGAATCTATGTAAAACACAGACAGTCACATAGGAAAAACAAAAGCCATCCTTATGTCCACAATACACTGAAAACTGGCTACTATTTCCACTCAGGTATAAAGGGCCAGATGCATGCTCATGCATAAGATCATGTCTTCATGGACTCACACTGGGGCTTCTTCTCAGGACTGGGTACCATAAACAGATGAGAAGGTCTCTAGAATCTGTTTCTTTCATTCACCTCCATATCTCTAGAACTTTGCACTGTGCCCAATCAATACGCATTTGGTGTTGGATTGCCAAATGCATCATGACCACGAGGCATCATGGCCAACAACTGTCCACATTCTGAGAGATGCAAGTTCCTACGATACATTCAACTTTCTCCTAGGTCCAACAGGAATTTGTCCTTCATTTCCACTCTATGAACAGGGACCCAGTGAACACTATTTTCCTGAGCTTATTCTCCACATATAAAACTGACAACTGAATGGCAATGGCCATTTTTAAGGCCTTTGCCCACTGGAGACACAATGCTGCATTCCATCCACAGGGACTCCAATTAGCTGGCTATTCCTGGAGACTGGTGGTTTGGACATAGCTAGGGTAGGCCCACACGCTCTTCACACTCCTCTCTGTCTCCTGCTGTGCACTGGGGATATATCAGTGGGTAAGATTGAGGCTCCAGGTTCATGGAACTTTGCGTTCTAGTCAGACCAACAACCAAGAACACCAGAGAACTGAAATAAGGTCAGTTCCGAGAGTGGTGTAAGCCAGGAAGAAATGTAGGCTTGTTAGTAGGATGGAGTTACACTGAATACAGAATAGGTCAGGGCCCCTCTGAGTTGGGGCCTATGACGTAACCGTCTGTGAGGACATGGGAACAGAGGGACCTATGAGGACAGAGGCCCAGTGGGGGACAGAGCTTAGGAACTAGAGAATAAAAACCAACTCTGCTGGCTGGCTGTTGCCTCATCTCCTACTGTTTTGTTCTTCCACGCCAGCTAGCCTGCAATGGCTTTCGTCATCAGCCCCACAGCAGGTGATGTTTCCTGGCCACATCCTCCACCTGCCCCACAATGTCTGGCCTTCCTGGTTTAAACCTTTTCCAGGACAGACGGCTGAGGGCTCCATCCTAGCTGAAAGTACATGGGGATAGTCACCTGGATATGCAAAGCCTCATGGGCCTCTGTTAAAAGCAGCATGACAGGAGGAGGTACTGGGTCTACTCAGCATGCTGTGGCCCTGTGAAGGGCCCAGAACAACTGGGCAAAGTGAAGAGCAAAGGTTCTATGGGGGCAGAGGCACCACTCATGGTAAGAAAGTGGAAACTGCTGCGGGACGGCCAAACATTTATCTGTCATAGATGTTTGCTATAAAAATGGTGGCTGTGTTCGTAAAAGGGGGGCACCTACTCCTTTGTAAATAAGCCCCACCCTATGCTCTGTTAAAAAAAAAAAAAAAGAAGAAAGAAAATGATAGGTGTCTGGATAGACAGATGAGAGGGATCTGACTAAACCGCAAGTGGATGGACTTGCACTGGGGAATGTCTGGGGACACTGACTTGACACAGTGGCCTTAACACCCAGGACAGAGTAAATGGGTTCCAGTGGGTGGGGGTATGGGAGGGTGCGGGTGGGGATGGGGCTATAAAGATGATTCAGATTGTTTGAGATATTCTGTATGAAATACAACAAAATTTAATAAAAACAAATTTAAAAAATGGTGGCTGTGAACTAACAGCAAGTACATATGTCAGAAGGGAAATTGCTTTCTGTGCTATAGAGAAATAAGGGGCTTTTGATCAGCGATGGAAATGAAGTGATTTGCTGGGGGTCAGGTGGTGTTTTTGTTTGCTTGGATTCTGATGGTGGGAGAATAAATGTATCTTAGGTAGTTATGAGAAAAGCCATGTGGGTGGAAACCAAGACTGGAGGGAGGGAGTCAGGGCCTGGTAACCTGAGGCAGGGGATGAGGGAGAATGAGGGCAGATTGGGGCTCAGTGGGTGGTCTGCTGTAGCCATCAGTTTCCCTGGGCTGTGTTAAGCACACAGCACAGGCCTCCTTTGTGTATGTGTGTGTGTGTGTCTTTTGTGTGCACATGCACATATGTGGGTATGCATAGAAACAGGTATGTACATACATGGTTCACACTCTTCTACTTTGACTGAAGATGCCCCACTCTCTTAAAAAGGACTCTGGGAGGAACCAATGATTTATAGGAGGGGAGGGAGGAGGAGAGGGAGGGGAGGGGCCAGCTGGTTCCCAACTTGCCACCTATGGAGCTGGTTTCCATAGAATGGATTCTGGCTCTGCCACCACCTCTGTGGGATCCTGGGTGATGACAGAACAATGGCAAGGCAGCGATTAACACTAGTAACAGCAGCTGGCATCATGGAGCTGAGACATGTGCCAAGGCTGCCATCGACCATCCCTGGGAGCAGGCCACTTTCTTCCCTTCTCCACCTGCCTCACAGGCCAGCCATGAGAGGTGAATGGTGTGAGACACACACAACCTGGGCTTACAGCACCTACCCACTAAGCATCTTGCCCCTCTAGCCACCCTTGTCCCCAAGTTGCCTGCTATATAGGGACTTATAGGACAAAAGGCTGCTGGGATACTCACGGTTAGAGGTGAGTCTGTCTGCCCCCCCAAGAGCATTGAAAGCTCCGTGAACATTCTGGACCTGTGGAGAAACAGCAAGGGGACCCTGAGCAGTTGCTACCTCTAAGCCTGGCCTTGGCTGTAGGGACTGGCCAGGGACCATCTGGTCATATAGGAGGATCCAGCAGAGACTATCTCATTGAGAAATTCTGAGAAATAGACAACACAGGCTGGGTACATGGTAGACAGCAGCTTGCTTCCCATTTTAAGTGCCTACTCTGACCCAGCTACTTTGTGGCATCTCATTTAATGACCTTAGAGAGATACATCTGGGGTCCATTTTATAGAAGGGCAAAGCAAGGCCTGGAGAGATGCCTGACTTATCAAGCATTTGGTAGCTGTTAAGTGTGAACTTGGCCTATGACCCTAGCTGAGCTCTCCCTAAGAAACTGTAGAAAAAACCCAGATAAAAATGCACTCTGGGTCCTGAGACAGTCCATGACCCTCCCGCCCCCTTAAAAGGCCCCGAGAGGAGCTAGAGTGGGGACACAGAGCTGTGGCCTCCCACTGTCTCAGCAGTGAAAAGATTGTTCCCCATGGAAGTGGCCAGACTCCCCAAGACAGGGGAGACTGGAGAGTGGGGTATGAATTATATTCCACCTCTCCCTAGAGGATGAAACTAGGCCAGCTGGAGGGAGTGTCTGAGCAGGACAAAGTACCCAGTCTGTGGAGCACACCATTGGGTCCTGAAAAAGGGCTTCGGAGCTAGACATCCAGAGGGCTTCCTGGAGGAAGGCCTAAAGTGGGCCAGGCAAGCAACTCTTGCAAAGGCTCAGTGTAGAGGCCAGACAGAAGCCAAGGGGACACCAGGAAGAAGAGGGAAGGAGAAGAGATCAGGGTGGTAAATAGGATAGACTCCCCAAAAGGGGAATGCTCCAGGAGCTGTGGGTGGGTGACCTAACCTTTATGCTGGCCCGGAAAGCTGATGCTTACTGACATGCAACAGAACAGAACTTTCAGCAACTGGGCAGGGCAGGAAAGGCAAGTGTGTTCATTTGCTGCCTTGTGACTGGAATTCTGAAACTTGGCTTCTGATCCCCTAGGATAGGGCTGTGGAGACCAGTGCTGCAGTGCCCCCATCCCATCCCCCCACCCCCCACCCAGTGCTGCAGTGTACCCTCTAGGCTGAAGGCACCATACCAGCAGGGCCAGTGCCTCACTTGCATCACACACTCACTTGTGTGATGATTTGGTGAAACCCTATCTTTCCTTCTCACTCCACACCGGCATGAACCACCCTTCATCTCACCAATGTGTGTGCAACACACAGTGTTTGATAAATATTTTTCTTTTTTGGGGGGGGGTTCTTTTTGAGACAGGGTCTCCCTGTAGCCCCAGCAGGCCTGGAACTCTCTATGTAGACCAGGCTGGCTTTGACCTCACAGAGATCTGCCTGCCTCTGCCTCCCAAGTGCTGGCATTAAAGGTGTGTGTCACCACACCCGGCTGATAAATAATTTTCAAGCGGACAGATGGACGTGGATGGAAGGACTGGCTCTAAGCAAAGTTGTGTACATTAAGAAAAACTCAGATTCTTATACAGTAATGTGGGGCACAGGACGGTGCTGTCCTTCAGTCCTGCACCTGCATGCAGCCCCAATTTGCCCTCTCATCTTCTTCCTTCTCTCCTGTCTCAGTCTGGGCTCTGGTCTTCCTTGCCCAGGCTACAGCCCTTCCCTCACCTCCTGTCTTCAGCCTTGCCTGTGTGCTGTGTGACAGCAGCCTGACTCCATCAGCATCCCCTTTGTCAACCTAGCATGGATCTTTCCCACACAAACCAAGTTTCCGGCTCCCCTCCTTCAGAGAGAACTGCCTCCTGGGTGACGTGGGCCTTTGATACCTCATGTATAGATGTCATTCTGGGGTCACAGACATCTGCTGATTGATTTTCCTGAAAGTCAGCTTGAGGGTCTGTTAATACAAAAACGATGGCATAGAACAGACCTTCTGAGAGAGGGTAATGTGTCAAATGTCCCCTTGCCTGGTCCTCGTGTTCTTGTCCTGAGCCTGGCTAAATCACTTTACCCTCACCTCCTCTGGGATACTGGCCCTGATTTCCCAGGTTGCTCCCACCAGAACCCACATCCCAACATCAGTGTCTAGAATCCTATCTTCAATATTCCTTGATCTATATTAATGTTTATTTACATCCAATCTCTTAAAATCAACAGCCCTGTATTTTTTTTTAAGATTTGTGTGTATATGTATGAGAGAGAGGGGGGGGCAGAGAGAGGGAGAGAGAGAGATGGATGTGGGTGGCCCAGGAGGCCAGAAGAGGGCATCCGATTCCCTGAAGCTGGAGCTATAGGTGGTTATGAGCAAGTGTTCTTAACCACTGAGCCATCTCTTCAGCTCCCAGGCCCTGTAGTATTCACAACAGTAACCTCAGGGCCTGGAACAAAGCAGAAAACTTCCCTAGAGTATGATGAACACATGACTATATGAGGTAAAGTAACAGAAGACCTGGAACCAGGCATATCTGGTGCCTTACAATATGGGTGACCCTGGACAGTTATAAAACTCTGATTCAATTTCTTCATCAGAAAAAAAAAAAATCCCATGTAGTATCCTTCAGAGAGTGTTCATGCCGACTAAACAAGGTATCAGCTAGGCATGGTGGCACACGCCAGTAACTCCAGAAGTAGAAGGCAAGAGGATCAGAAGTTTAAGCTCATCCTTGGCTACATAGAAAGTTTGAGGCCAGTCTGGGCTACACAAGACCTAGTCTCCAAAAATAAAGAGAGTCATTTACAATGCTGCTCTCCAATGAAAAGTACCCTGAAGGCTGACGGTCTTAAAAGTCCCCACGTAAAGCTGCTATGATGCCCAGTTTGTAACCCCAGCATTAGAAGTCTGAGGCAGGGAGATGGAGGGCTCAAGACCTACACAGAAGGAACCAATGAGGTACACAACCTACGCTATGTGACACCATGCCTCCATGTCCCAGTGTGGACACTAGAGTTCATAGGGTCTACCTTCCAGTGCTGTTGTAAGGGTATGGTAAGCTGCTAGGTGCCTGCCAACACCCAGTACACAGAGGGTGCCCACCAAGCCACCTCCACCAAGGCTTTGTCAGGACCCTGGGATTCCTATCCCAGTAATGTAGCCTTCTGAGGTGCCAGTTCTATTGTGTGAAATAGAGCATGACAGAACTTGTCTTCAGGGTTGCTATGCAGGGTGGCAAAGATGGACCCCAGCAGAGGACTGGCCTTTGTTCCTATACTCTATTTTTATTTTATGTGTATGAGTGTTTTGCCTGCATATAAGTGCACCATGTGTGTAATGCCTGTAGAGGCCAGAAGAGGATGTTAGATTCCTTGGAACTGGAGTTAGGGATGGTTGTTAGCTGCCATATGAGTGCTGGGAACACAATCTGGGTCTTCTGCTAGAGCAGCCAGTGCTCTTAACTGTTAAGCCATCTCTCCAACCCCTTATTTAAGGCAAAGAACCTGCTGCTGTGGGTAGGAGGCTGATAGCTGATAGCAAAGGTATATCCGAGTCCTTCAATGCTCACCTTGTCCCTGGTCTGTGAAGGTGGGCACCACATAGCTAAGCAGAGATGCTGTTGCTATAATGTGAGCAAGTCCCCCAATTTCATGTGCTGAAACTTGACCCTCAGAGTCCTAAGTCAGCCATATTTGAGAAGTGCAACAAACTGACTACCACAGTGGTAGACAGACTAATGTGTTCTCACAGGAGTGGCTCTGTTCCAAAAGCAGCTCTTTCTGCCTAGCTTGCTCTGTCTTGCCATGTGATGTCTCTGCCATGTTGGGATGCAGCAGAAGGGAGGCCCTCCCCAGATGCCAGCACCATGCTCTTGACTTCTGAGACTCCAGAGCCATGAGCCAAATAAAGGTGTATTCATTCAACACTGCCCAGTCTGCTTCTCAGTTATAGCAACAAAACATTGAGACAGCTATGAGGAGACTGGGCCAGACTCTAGAGTCAGAACCACAGGACAAATGACATTTCTGGGCTTAGCCTTCACATCTGTAAAATGGGATGCTACCCCCACCTTGCAGAGCTGCATTCACATAGAGAAAGTGTTGATAGTATTTTCTTATTAAAACAATGTTGTGGCTGCCCCCTCCCCAGTCCCAGTCTGAGCAGTTGAGTCCCATGCATGGTTGGTGACACAGTAGCCCTGCCTTCAGAAGACATGACAAAGAAGCCTCAAGTGGGCAACCCTCAGGAGGAGCCCCAGGGCACTAGCTCACAGCCATGCAACTATCCCTGCTCACCTGTAGTGTGTCCCCAAAGGAGAGCTTGTGGATGATGTGCGTCATATCAGGGTTCTGTGGCTGGGCTGTGGCACTGTGTGTGGACACGTGGAAGTTTCCAGGGACCTGGGGGAGAAACGGCAGGTTTCAAGAATCTGTGTGATTGGTTTCAAGGGTGGACTGCAGACATGGAATGGGCACTGGAGTCAGACATGTACAGCTGGGACCCTGGCTTGTGTCATTTCCAAGTGAGTGATTTTGAAGTAGCCTGTGAGCATTCACAGAGGCTTCCTGAGAAGGGATCTGGGATAATCCAGGGCAAGAGTGCACATGAAATGCTCACCTGGGCAATTGGCACAGAACCAGTACTCCAAATGACAGCTGTCCCCACCCACCTCTGTGGATTCTGGACTGCTGGCCCCATGGTGGGTTAGGTGCACTCTGAGTCTGCCGACCAATAGGACTTTCTGGAGCTCTAAACCAAGGTCACACCCACTTAAGTCAGCCCCATCACTCTAGACAGGGAACCCTGAAGGACAAACTGTAGTGGACGAGCTTCTTCCTTTGCCTTGAGGTCCCTGTCTTCTCTCCTCCAAGATCTCTGTACAGATGACCTTAGAGCAGCCTCTGCCCTGGTACCCAGCTTCCCAGCATGCCCTTGCCTCTCCCAACACAGACCCTATGTTTGATCTTGCCACACTCTTCCTTAAACCCTCCAAGGCTTCTTGCCTGTCAGTTTGCTCTTTGAATATGGTTTGCTATGCAAAGATTCACATGCTGGGGATGTGGCCCTCATTGTGGCCAAGAGCAAGTTGGCAGGACCTATTAGACATGGAGCCTTGCTGGTTGGAAGGAGGGAGGAGGGGTCCTTAGGTCACCGAGAGTCACTGATCTCAGAAGGGATTAATATGGTTCTTGTGGGACCTATGATGATTCTTGACAGAAGGTTATAAACAGCAACACTGGCCTATCCTCTCACCAGCTTCCTGTCCCACCATGTAATCCTTGCTGTAGGTGTGCCTGTCACTGTCAAGTGTCCATCACTGTGATACCATCCACTAAGAGGTCCTCACCGGACGTCAACTGACAGGGACACCTGATCCAAAGCTAAATAAATGTCTTCTCTTCATCCATTACTGTCTCAGGTATTTTATTACAGCAATGGAAAAAACAACAGTTGAGTCCATGTGCTCCTGTGGTGTGCTCTGGTCACTGGCCATGCACTCTGCCCCACTCACTCTCTCTGCCTCATTCACATCACTCTTACCTTTGCCATTCCAGTCAGACACACTGGTCTCCCTGTGGCATTGTAAACACTATACAGCACGGTCCCATCTTGGGGCTTTGTGTCTCCCACCTCTTCCTAGAATGTTTCCCCATTAAGCTTTCCCTCATCTTCCCTAGGCCTGTGATCAGATGTTGCTTCTCAGAGAGGCCCTCTGCTCTAGTTTCTTTTCAATTGCTGTGATAAAACACTCTGACCAATACCAACTTGGGAAGGAAAGCGTTTATTTGGCTTACATCTCCTGGGTTCATCACTGAGGGAGCCCAAGGTAGGAGGTAAGGGCAGGAACCTGGAGGCAGGAGCTGGAGCACAGGCCATGGAAGACTTTTGCTTACTGGCATGCTCCTCTGGCCTGTGCTCAACCTGCTTTCTTATACAATACAGGACCACCTGCCCAGGGCTGGCACCACCCACAGTGGGCTGGGCCTTCCCACACCACTCAACAATAAAATGCCCTACAGACATGACCACAGGTCAGTCCAATGGAGGAAATTCCCCAATTGAGGCTCCTTCTACCCAGGTGTGTCAAGTTGACATTAAAGCTATCCAGCACAATTGACCCCTTGTCAACCTGACACACAAACACATCACTATTAAACCACAACCTTTCCATTTCTTGTTCCTAAGATATGATGGTAACAATAACACAACATAAGACAGCACAACCTTAAAAGTCCCACAGTCCTTAAAAATCCAAACACTTAAAAGTCCATAGTCTCTTTCAAAAGTCTCTTAACCATGGGTTCCTGTAAAATCTAAAACAAATACTGTCTTATTTCAAAAGGGAAGACTTGGGGTTACCTAAGCAAAACCTAAGTCCAGCAAAGTAGTTCAAGGTTGGACATTTAGGTTTCACAATCTTCTGGGCTCCAAAGGGTTTTGGCAGCTCCACTTCTCTGACTCTGCCATCCACGGTGCACATATCTTGTCTCGTAGACCCAGGCCAGCTCCATTCCACACCCGCTGCTGCCCTTGGTGGTCGTCCCATGGTCCCGGCATCTCCAAAACACTGGGGTCTCCACTGAAACTGAGGCTACACCTTCACCAATGGCCTCTTCTGGCCTCTTGGGGTGCAAAGCCTCAGATTGTCTCCATGACTCCTTCAATCCTGGGGTCTTCACTGCAACTGAGGCTGCACTTTCACCAACAGCCTTCCTAACCTCTCAGGGTGCAAGCCTCAGCTGCTCTCTGTGACCCCTTCATACTTTCAATACCAGAACCATGCAGGAGACTCTTACACATTACCAAGTCCTGCTTTTGGCTAGAGATGGAGGCTCAGGCCCCCTCTGGACCATAGCTTCTGTGTGCTGACCCTGAGGAAATACTTTCCAGAAGATTTTGCCACAATGATGATGTTGGTCCCTTGTTACTTACTTGTTTCAGCCCCAGTTAACCAGCATCAACTGTCCCAGTAAAACAAAGATTTCACTTCTGTAGTTCTGGTCTCTTCTTAATTACAGCTGATTCTTCAGCCCCAGTTGACCAGAACCCACAGATTTTCAATTCAAGACATCGCACAAACAGCCCTGATAGTCTCCACTTCCCTTTGAAGCTTCACAAGCCAGGCCTCCATTGTCCACAACTCTTTCCATGTAACTGTTCCAAGCTCCACAGCAACAAACTATAAGCCCTCAATGGCTTTTCCAGTCCAACATTCCAAATGCTTCTACAATCCTCCCCAAAATACAAGGTCAGGTCTGTCACAGCAATATCCCATGATATTGGTACCAATTTCTGTCCTAGTTTGTTTCTCCATTGCCATGACAAAATACCCTGACCAATACCAAATTGGGGAGCAAGCCAGTAAGCAGCGTTCTTCCATGGCCTGTGCTCCAGCTTCCAGGTTCCTGCCCTGGGTTCCTACCATGTGGTCCAAGGTAAGCCAAATAAACTCTTTCTTCCCCAAGTTGATATTGGTCAGAGTATTTTGTCACAGCAATGGAGAAACAAACTAGAACACCCTCCCTGTCCACCAGCCCCACTGGCTGTGAAAGCACTGTCCTACTGATCTTAAGCTCTGTCTCCTCCTGATGGAATGGAGACTTTCATTGGCTTTTTTCCCCACTATAGCCCTCAGATCCAGTCCTAATAGGTGCTCAATAAACATTGAATGAACCCAGCACTTGATCCTGACTGAAACCTGGTATTTCCCACAGTAAAGAAAATCAAGATGCACGGCAGTAGAGATACTTGCTAAGGTCTCATGCCAAGAGCTACATTTAGAACTCCTGGTTTTCAAGCCTGTTCCTCCCCAACACAGATGCCTGGATACCATTTACTTCAGCAGCCCTGAGCTGATGGCTATGTGGAACCAGCCCTTTAGAAGGTGTTGTGTTGGGGGAAAAGAACCTAGACCTGAGCCTGACACCCCTCAAGCTGAGCTGAGGGCCTCCACTGGGGTGGAGTAGGGAGATGTGTTCAGGAAGGGTTAAGAATACCCTTGTGCTAAGGCCCTGAAGACAAGTCTGCATTTCTTAGGAAGACAGGAAAAAGCCTTTGATAAGAGGAACCAGAATGGCACGAATAAGCCTGGGGCATGTCTAGGGGATGGGAGAGCTAGAAATACTTAGCCTTGGATAGAAGGGGGTCGGGGCAGAGAGGAGCTGTACGATGCAAAAGGACACAAGAGGGAGGTGATGTCTCCCTGGCCAAAAGCTTAAGTGCCACACTGAAAACCCAGGGCCTATGCAGGGGAGGAAGGGATACGGCTACAGCTTAGCATGTCACCATCCATCAGTGTGCCCTTGTTGGTGTTCTGCTCCAGGCACAGAGCTGAAGGCTGTCAGCAGCAACCTGCCTCTTCAGCAGTTTCATGTGCCATGGGCTATGGTGGAAGAGGGGGCAGTCCAGGGGGGTCTGAGTTGAATGACAGGATGAGAGCGCGTCAAGGTTGCTCTCCAGTGACAGCGCAGCCTGCTTCACAGACCCAGTAACAGTGGCTCTGAGGTCTACACTTGGGCTCATGTCCAGTTGCCACCCTGTGCCTCAGCTGTCCTGTCAGAAAATGGGGGATAATGACCACAAAGGGTTTTGAGACTGGGAAGAATGCCACAGGTTTGTGGGATGAGCACACTTGTCTTTAGGACCCACCGAAAAGGGGCCTTGGAAGAGCAAACGACCTCCTCACAGGTGGGACATGAGAAAAAGCCACTGCATTTAAAAGCAATTTCACACTTCCACTGGTGTTTTCTTTTTTGAAAGCCTGCACAAGGCTGGCGGTGTAGCTCAGTGGGAATGTAGCTCAGGTGCCTATGTCAGTGGTAGAGCGCCTTGCCTCACATGCACAAAGCTTTGGATTGCATCCTAGCATGGGGTGGGGGCTTTACATTATATAGTTAGAACTAAATCCTATGGCTGACACATACTGAAGAAAGAAATCCACAGGGCTGCCAGTGTCCTGTCAGGTTTTCTGGGCAGTGGGCTGGACTATAGGCAACAATAGCCTTGGGTCTATGGTTTCTTCCCCCAGGGTTAAGTGAGCGGCAAAGACCGGCTCCTGAGTACCTACCAACCGCTGCCAGCCCTTTGGGGCCGTGACTCAGTAACCCACTCTGCCCCACACCAAATCTATCACAGGGGGCTGAGTCACGCCAGCACATGCAGAGCTGAAGAGAAGACGACACTTTTAGAGCCTGTGACTTAGGCACCTACGTCAGCGTCTCTGATGGGTTTTAAAAATATATAGCTAGAGCCAACCACCCCCTTCCCTTCTGCCCTTCTCCCAAAAGCTGTGGTGATTAGTGAGGCTACTAGGTGGTCTCAGTCCAGGCTGCTGGGCTGGCAGAGTACCTGCAGGTGAACTCTGGTATCTGGCTGTAGGTTCATTTCTTATAGGGGCCTTGGGACAAGTCTATACCTGAGGATGGGAGACAGGAGGGACAGCTGCTGTCCTTGCCAACACAGCAGACTGTCTCGATTGGTTTCCTTATCTGAGTATCACTGGCTGTCTTAATGGCAGTTCCTCAAAGGCATAAGACCCTAACAAGGGTGAGAGGTGTCTCCACACTCCCAAGGGGTTGGGGCAGAGAGTGGCCCAGGCTGTGACCTGGAACACATGGCCACTCTGGTCAGAGCACGTGTAACATAGGTGCAGGCAGGTCTTGGGGCTCAGGGTGCCTGGGTTCAGTTCCAGCTGTGGCCATGTGCAGGCTACTTAATCCCTAAGCTCCAGTGTCCTTAGGACTCTTATGGAAGGAGCCAGGTAAGAATTCGGTGAGTAGCTGCCATAGTACGGGGGGCTAGATGACCCTTCTATAGACGCCCTGGCCGGCCTTAATCCCCAAGCTCCAGTTTCCTTAGGACTCTTATGGAAGGGGCTAGGTAAGAATTCGGTGAGTAGCTGCCACAGTACAGGGGGCTAGATGACCGTTCTATAGACACTCTGGCCGGGCCGCCGGCCCTCCCTCCCTCCTCCAGCCAGAGAAGCCCCATTTGTTGCATGCTTGCTGTGCACATGCACTGTACAAATATACTTGTACAAGGTGATGGTGACCACAGGCTGACCAGAACAGGGAAAACTGCTCATGGATAAAAAGGCAGGGCAGGGAAGGGTGCCCATGCCTGTCTAGACCCAGCTTTGTTAAGTACTGTATATATTTGATTTGGTCATGCCTGTAATGACATTGGTATTGATATTCCCCACTTTTTTTGGGGGGGGTGGTCTTTTTGAGACAGGGTCTTCTTATAGCCCCTGCTGGCCTGGAACTCACTATGTAGACCAGGCTGGCCTTGAATTCATAGAGATCCACTTGCCTCTGCCGCTTGAGAGCTGGGATTACAGGTATGAGCCACCATGCCTGGCTGATATCCCCACTTTACGGAAGATGAAACTGGCTTAGAAAAACGGAAAGGCTGAATGAATCCTTAGAGAACATCAGAATCAGGAATTTTGAAAGTGAGTTGGTCTGACCCTGAAGGGCAAGTTCTGTTCACCCAGAGCCAGCTGGAAGCCTGCCCATAGAGAGCAGAGGGCAGCCTTGGGTATGTTTGCCAAGAAGTGGGAGGTGTGGTGGCAGGGTTGTCATCTGGGTGCTGGACATGCAGACCAAATAAATGTGGTCTTTTCTTGCTCACTGTGCAAAGCGTACATTTTGAGTACAGATGATCACATCTGACAATTGGGAAGTGAGTGTGTGTACATGTGTGCCTGGTTATCTTCAACTGTCACCATCTGATGCCTTTCCCCACAGCCCCATCACAGGGGAGTTACCCGTTCCCCAACACAGCACTCATTTCATTGTCTGTCTAGGTTATCAAAGTTATACACTGACTGTTTGGAGTATCTACCTGTGTGTTGGGTGTCATCCCACAAGAGACCATGAGTAGCACCAAGTGTAAGAATCATGTTTATCTCTTCATTGCATCCAGTCAGTGCTGAGCACTCAACAGCATGGATATATTAGCAAATTAGTCAATGGTCAGAAGAGGTCTAGAAACCCAAGCTTAAAGGAGGAAAAGCCACTGTCTGAGGGGGATTGTAACAGACAGTGAGTGGGGGGTGGGCAGGAGAGGGAAGTGTTCCCTAAAGGCCCATATCAGTGGAGAAGTACAGTGAGCAGTGGGTCTCCAGGAGAACATTGGCAGAGAGGACAGGAGGCAGAGTAAAGAGCCGGGGTCACTGTGGGTTTATTTGCCCATCTGTGGTGCTGGGCCTGGACTTGCCTTTCCTCCTGCCTCCCCTGCTCCAAGAACAGCCTCTCTTATGGCCTGGATCCCACCTGCTCTTTGTGTTCTCTCCTCTCATCAGTTTTCCCTGGTTGTCTTCTGCCAGAACAGGGCGTGCTCCTTCCCAGTTTCACTTTCGGTCTTGCAGCACCAGCTCTGAGCGTGCACCTTGGCTGAGTGTGTCCCCAAAACTTCATGTGTTGGAAGCATTGCTTCCAGGGTGGTGATATGAAGAGGTGGTGGGACCTCCGTTGCTCTTTGCCTACCCATCTCATGATATAACCTTATTTTTCTGTTACACATGTTCCCACCACTGTGGTGGCATCTGCCATGAGGCCCTCACCAGAGCCAACCAATACCTGTTCATGCCCCTGAACTGCCAGAACTATGAACTAAGTAAAACTCTTCTCTTTATAAAGTGCCCAGTCCTGGGTATTTCGTTACAGCAACAGAAAACTAACACAATACCCTTCTCTAGATTCCAAGGCCTGCCCAGCCCTTTTTTCCTCCTGTCTGACCATTCTTACTTCCTGTCACCCCCTCACTTCTCAGTGGGGGGTCCCACAGAAACCAGTTCTCAAACTGTATTTCTTTCACAACTTTAAGTTCTTAATAGGTTTGGTTCCATAGACAACCCCTTGCCAGCATTAGGAGGCCTGTGTTTTAAATGCTTAAAAAATTTTAAAATATATTCCGATGGGCATGGTGGTGCACACCTTTAATCTCAGTACTCGGGAGGCAGAGGCAAGCGAATCTGTGAGTTCAAGGCCAGCCTGGTCTACATAATGAATTCCAGGCCAGCTGAGGCTATAGGGAGACCCTGTCTCAAAAAGAAAAAAAAAAAATTAAATATTCCAAATATATAGGACTTACGAAGGAAAATTCTATTTAAATGATAAAAAAAAAACATTAGAAAATGCTTTTTTAGCCATGCGTCATTACAAGACCCAGGTAGGCCAAACAGTTGCTGTAATTCTCAAAGTGGTGACGTCTTTACAGTATCCTGAAATTCTTTACAACTGTAATGTGGTGTGACTATCAGCAATTTCTCCTAATAAAGTCATGGGCACTGCCCACAGTACTTTGGTTTATTGATTATATTGACTGCAGAAGGAAATGCTAAATTAGATTTTGCTAAATTAGAGCTTAGCAAAAACAAAGATGTAATTTAATCCACTTTCTTTGGGGGGGGTGTGCCAGGTAAATCTGCACTCCTTAGGGGTGTTAGTGCACCCCAAGTTTTTAGAGCAAAGTGCTACATCCTCTGCCTAGGTGATCTTGGAACCCTCAGATTTTGATGGCATGAGTCTCAGGAAGACTTCAGGAGGTCAGAGGTGGAGCCCCAAGTTCTGCCTTCCTGACACCCCCCGAGGCACTGCTGCTGCTGCTGTTGGGGGTTCCTACTCTGAGTAGCCCCAACCTAAAGCTACGACTTCCCACATCATCTGTTCACTGTGGACTCCCACAGCAATGGCTGCTACCCAGAATTCTCTCCTTGAGCTCCAGAAACATGCCTCCAACTTCCAACTTGACATTTCTCTGGAGATACTTGCTGGGAACAGCAGATGTACCAGAACTAAAGGATTGATTCCCAGTCCCCTCCCAAAGAATCCCTCCTTCTCAAGCTTCCACATTTGCAAAACAAACTATCAAGGCAGAAAGGCAACAGGGTCTTTGGGTGTATGTGTGCCCTCACCTCCCAACACCAATTCATAGTTAAATCCTGTCGACTCGGTACTGTACCCTCAACCTGACCACTGTCCCCAACTCTACAACCACTGTCTTTCACTTCCACTCTTGACCTCCTATAGTCTGTCCCCATAGTTCTGACGAGGACTTTGTATACTGGGCTGACAGCATAATGTATGGTAATGATGGAGAGGTCCCGGCTGGCTAATTCCACTGGAACATAAGCTCTATCAACCCCAGAACCTGACCCATCTGTTCATTGTGCTGCCAGAGCTTACTCCTGACCTTGAACATACAAGGTGTGAATGGTGTATGTTCACTCATTTACCCCACATAAGCTTTGTGACATGAATGGCGCCACTGTAGCATTATTACCATCATAGCCTCAGCCTCAGGATCACAAATCCTAAAGGTCTTTTCAACACTCTTAGTGTCCTCCACTCAGGAGAGGAGCAGCCACCACTCCCTGCCCAACCCCCACCCCTTTTTTTTAAAGACAGCGTCTTGCTATGTAGCCCTGGCTGGTCTCGAACTCACAGGGGTCCACCTGCCTCTGGGAGTGCTGGGATTAAAGGCTTCCACCACTATACCTGGCTTAGGAGCTGTCCTTTCTGAACCTGCCACAGGGGCTTGAAACTCGAGGGAGTCCTAAACTCACCGAGTCTCAGGCAAGCAAGTACTGATTCTCAGCTTGCCAGGGGTTCTGTTGGGATCAGTCAGGGTGGAGAGGAGGGAAAGGGCCCACAAAAGGTCTCCATACCTTGTTGATGCTGAACTGGCCCTCAAAGCGGCAGCCTGCCCCATTGTTCAGAGGGATCTTCATGGAGTTGTCGATGTGGCCCACTTCATGCCTGCCCATTTCATCCTGAATGTCAAGCCCAACCACTGTGGGAGCCAAAGAGAGGAGTCACTCACACCCTACAGAGTGGGGACAGCCCACCTCCCCAGAAGTACCATTTCACCCTCCATAGACACACTGCCTGGGGAGCTCAAAATCACACAGGAAGCCAGCCAGCACAGGAAGAAGTGGCTGTTTGGCTAAGTAGTACCCAAAACATCATTCATCCAGAAAAGTCACAGCGCCCCTGCCACTGCCTGAGGCTGGAGAACAGAGGAAGTCAGGAAGAAGCAGTGGCTGATGGAGTCAAGGGGCCAAGATGCAGGGAGCAGGGTGACTGCTAACGCAAGGTCCAAGGGACGCTGTGGACAGAGGGGAAAGGCCATGGAGGTCAGCCACTCTGGAACCTAGCTTTGCCTTTCACCAGAGTGACCGTGGCTCAGGTACTCACTAACTTCAGTGGCTCAGTTTATCCCTGGGAAAAAGTGAGGTGATAAAAAAATTGAACTTTCAATAGAAGGTTATGTGGCTCAGTTAACAGATGTGGAAAATGCTTAGAGCAGGGTCTGACGGCAGCAGGCGGGAAGTGCTTCATCAGTGCCAGCTCTCACTAAACCTCACACTCTACGGGTCACCAAGTGAACAGGTTCAGGCACTCATTCATTCTTCATTTATCTCTCATTCATTCACACCTTCCTATACCCTGGGGAAGCACTGGGGAGGCACCAAGGAATGAGTCAGGCTTCTCTTTCCACAGGAGCAGTGCATTTGCTAGGTTTCTCAGCACACAGTGCTGGCTGACCCTGACTTCAACCTGGATCGGCTGCCTCACTGTGCCTCAGCTTCGGCATCTGTACAATGGGCAGGCCACTCTACTGTGATCCCTGAGATGGTCCAAGTCTGAGTAAGGAGAAGCTCCTGTGCACCACAGGAACACAGCCAGCTCTCTGGCAGACAGACCACAGAGGAAGCTGCTATACAGAGGAAGGGTAGCTGCAAGTTATTTTTAAAGACAGCCAGGGATAATCAAGTACAATCGTGTTCCTCAATTGGCATCAGAAAGTATGAGCCAGCCAGCAGAGAAGGGCACATGATATGGTCGTCACAGATGATACTCTGTAAGCTGAAGGCTAAAGAAACACAAACAGTCCCTTGCCTGACTCAGCAGTTCCACCTGAGCCCAGTCTACACACACGCTCGTGACCAGACATGTGCACAAGGCCACTTCTGAAACTGTGACAGTAAGAAGCAACCCAAGGGCTGGAGAGATGGCTCAGCGGTTAAGCGCACTGGATGCTCTTGCAGAGGACTTGGGTTGGAATCCCAGTACCCACATGGCAGCTAACCACTGTCCTAACTCCCATCCCAGGGGATCTGACATCCTCTTCTGACCTCCACAGGCATTGCATGACATGGGTGCACTTACATACATGCAGGCAATACACTCATACACATAAAATAAAAATAGTAAAATATTGAAAAAGGAGAAGCAACCCAAGTGTCAAAATGATGATGGCCAGGAGATCAGCTGCCCTCTGTGATGTGGGGCAGCAGGTACAGAGAAGGCACTGAACAGTGTGCATGGAGAGGAGGCTCCGAGCAGGGAAGCAGCCGCCCCTGGGTCCCAGAGCTAGCTACCTCACCTCTCCACACCTCCATTTCTTCCTCTATCACAGGCGCACTGTGACAACTTAAGAAACTTTTAAAAAACTGATTATTTTATATGTATGAGTGTTTTGAATACATGTCTGTAAGTGTACCACATACAGGCAGTGCCCTCAGAGGGCAGAAGAGGGTGTTGGGTTCCCTGGAACTGGAGTTACAGACAGTTGTTTGCTACCATGTGGATCCTGGGAACTGAACCCAGGTTCTCTGCAAGAGCAGCCAGTGCTCTTAACTGCTGAGCCAACTCTCCAGCCCCTAAGACTTAAGAAACTTAAAAGAGCACTTACTTTATGTTGGACACTTGGCTCAATAGCTTTGTATAAGAACATAGCACCTGAACGATACTGTGGGAAAGATGATGTCATTGGCACCCAGCCAACATCAAGGGAAACCGAGGCACAAAGCTCACAACTAAGAAGCAACAAAGCTTGGACTGGAATTGGTGTCTTGCTCTAAGCCTACCTCCTTTAGGCAATCTGCTAGGACATGGTACATTGTACTAAGTTAACGCAGCCAAATGATTCAGTACAAGTCTGGCTGGAGAAATGGTCAGTTATTATTTTACTAATAGTATGAGTAATTTAAGAACAGCTCAAAAATATTAAGCAGGGGAAAAACAAACCACAAAAGTCCTACATTGCCATAGTGTAGGGTTCAAGTTATCTAAAAAGAGAAAAAGAAACTAAATGTGACACATGTCCTGTGTACACATGAGGGATTTGTTGTTCAACATCCCTGGGATGCCAAGCCTCCTATAAGAGTATTTACATCAAACAAGGGTATCTTTCCATATATGTTACATCATCTCTGGGTTATTCATACAGCTCAATAAATGCAAATGTTGTGTAAACAGCTATCATTCTTTGGAGTTCAAGTCCCTCCAAAGGCCCACACCATGGAAGTGTGGTCCCCAGCCTGAGGTGCTACAGGGAGGCAGTGAACTTTTAAGAGTGGGGCCTAGTAGGTCCTAACTGTTATAGGCTCTACCTTTGTAGGGGACAGTAAAATTGCCACCCTCTGCTTTCTCTCCTCTGCTTTCTTGACTTGAGATGAACAGATTTGCCCACCCCAGGTTCCCACCATGAGGCACAACCACAGTCTGAAACTTCCCATGCTGAGCCACTGCAAACCTTTTCTCTTCATATGCTGATTGTCTTAGGCATTTTAGACTAACTAATACCAGCACGTCTACTTTCTACGCTGTATTGTTTAGGAAATAATGGTAAGGCAGGAAAGTCTGTACATGTTCAGTACAGATGCAATTATATCTTTTCTGAATTCTTTCAACTTGAGGGTGGTTGAATCTCTGGGTATGAAACTGCAGATATGGAGGGCTTGACTGTATGTTTACAGACACATAGGAAGGGAGGGAAAAGAGCCCTCCACAGCCAGCACAGGGTACTCAGGATGATGACATGCCAGGGGCAACAAAAGGAAACATAAGGGGTACTTTTGTGTTTTTAAAAACATGTATTATAGCTAGGCGCCATGGCTTGCGCCTTTAATCACAGCCCTCAGGAAGCAGAGGCAGGTGGATCTCTGCGAGATCGAGGCTACCCTGGTTCACATTGTGACTTCCAGGTCAGGTGTGACAAGAGAGACCCTGTTGAAAAACAACCAACAAAAAGATAAAAATACATACTTAATACATACTAAATAATACTTAATACTAAATACATACTTAAATAAAATATAAATATATAAAATATTATATAAAATTGTTTTTCCTTCTCCCTCTGTATTGAGGATCTAACTCAAAGCATCTTACATGCTAAGTAAACACTTTACCACTGAGTTATATTTCTGTATTTTAAAGGTCTATCTTGAAAAAATTCTTCTATTAGTTGTATGCTGAAGAACAATGTGATTAAGACTAGAGAGATGGCTTAGCAGTGAAGAGCTTGTACTGCTCTTGTAGAGGGCCCCAGTTCAGTTCCCAACACCAATGTCAGGCAGCTTATAACTTCCTGTTAACTCCAGCTCCAGGGGATCTGATGCCCTCTTCCAGACTTAGTGGGCACTTGTTCTCACAAGTATATATACCCGCCTGCCCACATATACATAATTAAAAATAAAATAAGTCTTTAAAAAAGAAGACTGTGGGGCTGGAGAGATGGCTCAGCAGTTACGAGCACTGGCTGCTCTTATAGAGGACCCAGGTTCAATTTGTAGCACCCACATTGTGGCTAACAATTGTCTGTAACTCTAGTTCCAGGGGATCTGACGCTGGCCATCTTCTGACCTCTGTGGGTATTGCATGACACAAGTGTACTTATATATATGCAGGCAATACACTCATACACATAAAATAAAAATAATAAAAAAAATATTTTTAAAAAAGAATGTTATCAGCCGGGTGTGGTGGTGCACGCCTTTAGTGCCAGCACTCAGGAGGCAGAGGCGGGCAGATCTGTGTGCGATAAGAGGCCAGCCTGGTCTACATAGCAAGTTCCAGGTTAGCTGAGGCTACAGGGAGACCCTGTCTCAACAACAATAACAACAAAAAGACCCCCCTCCAAAAATAAAAGAATGTTATCATAAAAGCAATCCAGGGCCATAATATAATATAATGCTAGGTAAGTGCTCTATAGCTGAGTTGCCCATCCTCAGCTTAAGAATATTCTTTCTGGGGGGGCTGAAGAGATGGCTGCGTGGTTAAGAGCACTGGCTCCTCTTGCAGAGGAGGGTTTGAGTCCCAGCACCCACATGGTGGCTAACAACTGTTGGTAACTCCAGCTCCAGGGGATCCTATACCCTCTTCTCCATGGGCATTGCATGACACAGGAGCACTTACATCATGCAGGCAATATACTCATACACATAAAATAAAAATAATAAATGACATATTTAAAAAAGAATACTCCTTCTGAAAGCAGGGCATGAGATGACAGTGGCAGCATGACTTCAGCCATGTTCAGAATGCACAAGAGAGAAGCCAAATTGAGCAGAATGATGTCACGGTAGCCATAGACCTGTCATCAGGTAGTGGAATTACGGGTGATTTCCTTGCTCTGCTTCTCTGGATTTTCCAGAGACACAATGACGAGCATACAATTTTATGTATGAAGCTTCTGAAAGTCTTTTATGTGTGTCTGGGCGGGGGGAGGGGCGGTTATTGGAACCAGGACCTGGAGGTTGCTGTGCAAGCACTCTGCCTTTGAAACAAAATCCACCATCCTGGGCTGCAGTGGGTTCAAGTCACATAGGGTCCATGGGGAGCAGAGAAGAGGGGATGGCATAGCCAGTGAGCAAGAAGGACGCCTGGCCCATCCTAAGTCGCTGCCTGGATCTGAGACGGAACCTAGAGCCCTCCGGCCCCTGCTCTGCTGATCCTGGTCCTGTGGCCTGACTAAGAATTTCCTTGTTTTAGAGATACAACCGACTCCTGAAGGAGAAAGCTGCCAGATGAGCTAATTTCCTAAGAAGAAGAGAAAAAAATTAAAAAGTAAAAATAAATAAAGCTGACCTATTTCAACAGGTTCTCTGGCCTTGGGCCACTGTGAATTCAAACCTGTGATGTCACTCTCACCAAAAGCAGGAACAGGGCTGAATGTCTCCCTGTGTCTGTCTAGAGGCCCACCCAAAGTTATGCCCTTTACTGTGGTCCTAAACCAGGTCCTGTGATTGGAAGGGAGGGCTGGGAAGAGGCTGAGGAGGTTACATCAGCCTATAGGCCTGGTGGGGCTGAGGGAGGGTTAGAACCCGAGTCCAAGAGAAGATAGCCCATCACCAGTCAGGAAAGGGACCATCTCTCTCTTTTTTTTTTTTTTTTTTTTTTGTCTTTTTGAGACAGGGCTGTAGCCCCAGCTTTCCTAGAACTTGCTATGTAGACCAGGCTGGCCTCGAACTCACAAAGATCCTCCTGCCTCTGCCTCCCAAGTGCTGGGATTAACGGCGTGAGCTACCACGCCCAGCGGAAGGGACCATCTTATCAAATCCTTTGGCAGTGGGGTAAGGGGTAAGTGGGGGTAAGAAACTAAGGTCACCTTAGCCAAGGCCAGTCTGAGCAAAGCAGGAGGAACCTGACTCCAAATTGGACTTAATCATTGAGTTTGACAGAAATAATTTAGTCTTTATCCCCCCCCCCCCCCCCCCCCGTTTAATCCCAATACTTTGAAGGCAGAGGCAGGATATCTGTGAGTTTGAGGCCAGCTTGGTCTACATAGTAAGTACCAGGTCATCCAGGGCTGCATATTGAGACCATGTCTCAAAAAAACAAAACAAATCAAAACAGAAAACAGATCTGAGGTCAAAAGGAAGATGCCAGAGCCTTGTTTTTCCTGATGGTACCTCACTGAGCTTCTGTAGGTATCAGCTGCTCAGACCAGGACTCTGTCTATTAGGAATCTCATGTGACTCCCATGTGAACTACCCTGTGGCCATCAGCCACTGGTATGGATAGTGGCAGCCCTGTCCCACTGCTACCAGGTAGCTTGGCCCTACAGTGCCACCGTAGTCCACAGACCAGACTTCAGCTGCATACACATCTGGGCTTCTCCCCTTGCACAGCCTTGCACAGCCCAGTGCCCCACTCCTCCCTTCCTCTCTCATAGCTTCCTTCTTTCCACAAGCAAGCCACTTGCTCAAGAATATTAAGCTTTGTTCTAAGAAACAGACAGGAAAGACTCCACTGCCCTGTGCCACCTGCACCAATATGGCTGCTCAGCAGAGGCCCACAAAAAAATTCCTATCTTTCATCTCAGAAAATTTCCAACTACCTGCTCAATTATAGTCTCCTTCCCCCCAAAAGTCAGGGCTGTCATAAGGTGCATGCTGTTTGCAGCTGGCCATGTGTGCTTAGCTCGCCCTGGACAGCTCAACATGCCTGCAGACAGATCACCCATACGGTGGGAGCTAGAAAAGAGGGCTATTTGGAATACTCACATTCGCAGTGCAAATTGGGTAAACTGATGTTCAGACTGACGTCAATTTTGCCTCCGCTGTCCTTGTCTGGGTCATCAACGTAGAGCTCATTCACACTGAGAGAGAGACAAGTACATAAGCTTTTACTGAGATGGAACAGGACCAAATGGCTGTGCTAATTTCCTGGGGCTGCGCTAATAAATTGTGACAGTGATTTAAGCAGCTACAGCTCGTCTCATACTTACACAGCACTTTGCTCTACCTCCTGCACCCTCATGCAGGAATTCCTGTGATTTTATCTAGCCTGTCTGGCTGATTGGGGATGGCTGTCATCTCCAGATCCTTCATGTAATCCCACCTGTAATGTTCTCCCCTGCACAGACACAGGCTGAGGAGGCAGAGATTGGAGCAACTGGATCATTACTCTATAGCCACAGTTAGGAGGTGGGTGGCTCCAGACAGACCATATCATCTTGCTGCCAGGGACAGCGGCAACGCACATTTATTCAATAAACAGTTTTGGGGTATCTACTACCTGTCAGGTACCAGAAATGGTGTCAAACTAAGCATAGTCTCTGTTTCCATCAAGATCACAGACAGGACCAGACATCGCTCACCTCCTAAATAAATATGCTGCCACCAGCTATGATTAGTGCTTTGACAGAAAACTGCAGAGTGCCTGGAGGGGCAACTGTCCTCCAGGAAGCTGCTCTGAGAGGATGAAAAGGCATGGACTCAGCAGCAGGAGGAAGATGTGTAGAGGGCCTGGGCCAACTTGGGAATGAATAAGGTTCATCATGGTAGGTGTGGCACGAGAGAAAAGAACATGGTATGTGACATAGCTGGGATGTAGGCAGGGCCAGCTCAGGCATCTGACTTGTTTAATAAAGTCATGTGGTCAGTCTTACACCTCAGCAGGCTGGAGGACTCGAGGGTCTATCCTGTGTCAGGGAAACCAGATGGTAGGTTCTCCTGAATATCCTGATCTCTGAACAGTGGTTCAGAAATCATGGCAACCTGGAGCAGGCCTGGAGGGGGGCAAAGGCAGGATACAGGTGGTGCTTACTGATGGCAAATGGGGCTGGGCTGAGGATGACCCCAACCCCATTTCTTTTTGGATCTATTTACTGAGCCAGGGGCCTTGCTAGTGGAGCAGAAGTAGTGGGGAGGGAGAGGCATTGAGCTTAAAGTACAGATGCCCAGGTAATTCCCCATGGGGAGGGGAACTCCAATCTCTAAGCCTGGCCTCATGGGCTGCTGAAGGACACAGGGCTGGGGAAGGTAGGCTGTGGCTACACTAAACACTCATCAGAATGGGGATCAGGGAGATACTAGCCAACAGATATGAAGTTACAGGCAGACAGACATTCTGGTGTCCTACCACAAAGGCAAGGTAACTATATTGATGACAATATATTATGTATTTCAAATTAGATAAAAGACAAAATTTTAAATGTTCTTTCCACAAAGAAATGGTAAAATATTTAAGGTAACAGACGTACCAACTAGATGAACTGATAGTTCCAGAAGGTTTCAAAATATCACCTTGTACCCCATCTTGCCAATTAAAAATAAAACTTTAAAACACCCCACATGTGTTAGGTACCTTGGAGATGACAGCTGAACATAATCTGTACTACATACAGGAAGACTCTCTACACAGTTAAACTTTAAGAGAGCCCTGTGAATAGCTGTCTTGTTGGGAAAGATCATAGCAGGCCCAACAGGGGAATGTGGTTTTTATTAAGACCCCATCTAGTTCCATAGTGCTCAGTGAATAAGAACTGTGGCTCAAGAACACAGTTCATTTCTTTGTAGAAATCAAATATATTCCTGGGGATGTGGCAGCCACAGATTTGGCCTGCTCTTCAGGCTGCAAAACACCCAGCCCACTATGCTGGGTAAGCAGGAGCGGGGGTATCCCTAATCAAGTTCAAATAGATGGATTCATGCCATCCTATCCTCTCCTGTGTGATGTCCTCATTCCTATTTTCAAATCAGAAAACCAGGGTTCAGAGTAGAGGTGTTCCATCACCAAGACCACACAGCAGGAAATAGCTGAGTTAGACTCTCAAAGTCTGCCTTTGCTTGAGCCCCAAGACTTCTGGGGCTCCCAGTGCCTTCCTCTCTTTCTCCTCAGTATCTAGGCCTCAAAGGTGAGAGAGAACACAGGATGTGGAGGCAGCCAGGGGCTTGTCCCAAGCAGAGCTCAGAGTAATAAAGGTATTGCACAGAACCAGTGGACAAGGAGCAAATGGGCCATAGGAGGTTCAGCCAGAAGATTCATTTCTGCTCAGGCAGATTAAAACACCCTCTGTTCCCTTCAGTACCTATATCTACCTTAGCCTCAATTTGCACTCCAGAAAATTGTTGAGTAAGGAAACATCTGTGTGATTACCAAACAGTAGCTGAGGGAGAGGGCTTCCCTTCCCAGGGACTGCTCCTTGAGGCACTCACCTTTCCTACCTGGCAAGGCTGGTCCTTTGGGGATTGCTGAGGGATTATTGGATGAAGTCATCCCTGGCAATCCTGGGAGTGACCTCAGCAGTGAGGCAAATCCCAGGTGTGGCCCAGGTGCACTCACGGGGTCCCCAGGAGGCTTCTCCCAGGCATGGATCCCTGTTTCCTAGTCAAAAGAACTGGAGTGGCCCAGGCTGACAGGCCCACTCTGCACAAAGGGGCTGAGGTGCCAGCAGGGAGGGTAAATGCATGGCCTGTAGCAGTGGGCCAGTGGTTATGTAAGGCCAGAACTGGCCACTCCAGGCTGCTTCCTGGAGGCCCTGACTGTGGGATGGATATGATTCAATCACCTGAGCCACCAACCGATGAGGTCAGCACACGGCTGCCTTCCACGTCCAAGGCAAATGTTCCAGGCCCACTGGTTTCCTGCTATCTCAGGTGCAAACCCTCCTACACTACCCATGCCAGGGCTAACTGGCTCCACCAGCTGGGGCTGAATTGGTTTTTAAAGCCAATGGGCTGCCACAAACCAGCCCACCTCGAAGAAAATAAATGCTTTTTGTGGATTAACTGCAGCTTGGGGAATCTAGTCTGATACCCCATAACCAGCACTGGTGGTGAGAAGGCCTAGAGGGGTTGGCAGACTGATAGACAGATGTGGGCACACACCCCCACCCCCACCTGTCACTTAGAAGCTGAGTTGTCTGGGACAGTTTGCTTCATTTCTGAACCTTAGTTTCCTCATCAGAACTGGAAAAGCTCTGGGTGAAGCCAAGAGAATGGGGTGGGAGGGGAGCACTGACTGGGAGGGGCACAAAGGAACCTTCTAGATTGCAGAAATGTATATGGCTTGATTGAAAGGATGGCTACATGGGTGATAACTCGCTGACCCTTCCTTTCAGATGTGCATTTGCTGTAAGTCACACAAGCTTTACTAAAAAGAAAACAGAGGCAAGGAAGGAGGAGAAAGGAGACAGGCAGGAATTCCTAACACGTCTTAGGGCTACTGGAGCACTGGTTCAAGCTGGGGGGCAGATTGTGTATGTGTACTTATACATAAGTTGGCAGGGTTCACCACCTGGCTATAGTACCTTCTGGTTGATTGACCTTGGATACAGAGCTTTGACTCCAAGAGCTTCGGTTTCCTTAGAAGGACGGTTGATTCTCCCTGTAAGCTTTTCATCCTTGGGTTCAACCAACTGCAGATCTAAATTTTTCAAAACTAGAAACTTGAGTCGGTATTGGACAGGTGCAGACTTATTTGTTCCTTAGACAATACAGAACCATAACTATGTGCACAGCATGCACGTGTGTGGAATAGTGTAAATCATCTGGTGTGTAGGATACATGTGAACACCACACTGTTCTATATAAGGGATTGGAGCATGATTCTATATGTATCAATAATGGGGTCCCAGCACCCCCCTAGTGATTCTATATCAATCATGGGGCTGCTGAGAAGGTGAGAACCGTGCATGGTCTTAGTACATACTCAGTGCTCAATCTCTAGCCACTGTCTTTATCATTAACATCGATGTTAATGAGCTAAAAATAACAGGGGCACCAAGAGTCTCCAGGGAAAAGTGTCATGGTGTGGACCAAATATGTTATGCATGTAAAGGGCTTAGCATAGCTTTGTCTGGTGTATTCTGGGCCCCCCTAAAAACTAGGAGATGCCCCAGTTCTAAGACCCTGGCCCACATCAGGGACAGAGGCATCTCCTATAACACAGCAAGCTAGACAAGGTTACTATGCCTTCAGCGAGGACAAATGACTGGTGCAGATCACACAGGCAGGAGAGGCAGAGGAGGTAGCAACCATGGGACTCAGTGCCTTGCCTTTCCCATTGTGTTACACTGTCTGAAGGGGACAGAGATCCCTGGAAAGCAGGATATGTGGTTCTCAGGGAGATGTGTGATGCAGGGGTTACCACCTTTTCTGATGATCTTCGGATGTGCCCCAGGGCCTATGGGGTATGGAGATGCTTGGGTCCACCGGCTTTCTGCCCCGTAAACCTCCCTCTATCACCTCCACCTCCACTTGCCTAACTACCTGCTAGGATGAGGACCCTTGAGCATCTTTCATGGAATGAACATGAATGGAGTGGGTGGGGACGGGGACGGGAGAGAAAGAGAGAGAGAGAGAGAGAGAGAGAGAGAGAGAGAGAGAGAGAGAGAGAGAGAGAGAGAGAGAGGGGCGGGCACACAGAAGAGGGAGGGGGAGGGGGTGTGTGCGCGGGGGGGGGGGGGGGGCACAC